CCGCCACTAACCGGAGAAAGGTTTTCAAAAGGTTTCAGAAACCGAACCGAACCGAACCTAACCGTGGCCAGCCTGGTTTTGTGAACTGGCACCACTGTGAACGATTCTGAGTCCGCGGTCACGTGTTCAGACTCGTGACATGGTCATCTCTATGCTGTTCTGCGTTTGCCTGCGTGTGTGCGCATCCACTGCGCTAACCCCAGTGAAGCTTGATGTTCAAGATGGGTTGTAGTCAGGTTTGCCGTCCCAGTGTAAACCAACCTACCAAGATACTTGACACTGCAAGGGCTGCAAACCACCACCACAACCACAACAACCACAACAACAACAACAACAACAACAACAACAACAACAACAACAACAACAACAACAACAACAACAACAACAACAACAACAAACAAACAACAACAACAACAACAACAACAACAACAACAACAACAACAACAACAACAACAACAACAACAACAACAACAACAACAACAACAACAACAACAACAACAACGACAACAACAACACACAACAACAACAACAACAACAACAACAACAACAACAACAACAACAACAACAACAACAACAACAACAACAACAACAACAACAACAACAACAACAACAACAACAACAACAACAACAACAACAACAACAACGACAACAACAACAACAACAACAACAACACAACACAACAACAACAACAACAACAACAACAACAACAACAACAACAACAACAACAACAACAACAACAACAACAACAACAACAACCACAACCACAACCACAACCACAACCACAACCACAACCACCACCACCACCACCACCACGTTGACGACGACGACGACGACGCCGACGCCGACGACGACGACGACAACGACAACGACAACGACAACGACAACGACAACGACATAATATAACAACTACACCTACAACTACAACAACAACTACAACAACAACTACAACAACAACTACAGCAGCAGCAACAACAACAGGAGGAAGAAGAAGAACGACAAGAACGCGCCGCCGCCGCGTAAACGCGCGCAGCCAACGTCAGCGTTTGGAGGAGCACCTGAAAACACCGATTTGCACTGTGCAAACAAGCATCGCTCCACCACGGGAGCTGCTCAACTTCAATCCGGATCATAGGTCCGGTGAAAAAGTGTGTTTTGCCTCAACAAAACGCCCGGCAAGATTCTCAGATTCATCCAAAAACAATTTTCAAGAAGACGTTGACGGGGCGCGCTTACCATTTGGCAGGCATGGACACAGCGCTGCGCAGGTGCACTTGAGCTATACAGCTCGCTTTCCAAGCGTGGACACAGCGCTGCGCGGGTGCACTTGAGGCGGCGCGCTGACCGTTTCGCAGGCATGGCTACCGTGCTGATTGGGCAAACTTGAGCGGATGCCTTACCAAGTAGCAGGCATGGACACAGCTGCGCGGGTTGCACGCGCGCTTACCATTTGCAGGCATGGAGCTCTAGCTGCACTTGAGCGGGTGCGCTTGCCACTTGGCAGGAACGGAAACAGTGCAGAGCGTGAACCATTTGGCAGATGGATACAGTTCTGCGGGTGCGCTTGAGCGGGTGCGCTTACCATTTCGCAATCATGGCGACAGTGCTCACAGTTCTGCGCAGGTCCACTTGAGCGGGCGCGCTTAGCTTAACATTTGGGAGGCATGAACACAGTGCTGAGCAGGCCGCTTGAGCGCGCGTGCATGGATACAGCGCTGTGCGGGTGCACTTGAGCAAGTGCGCTTCCCATTTGGCAGGCGTGGATACAGTGCTACTCGGGCGCACGTGAGCGGGTGCGAGTGCCAGTTGGCGGGCTTGGAAGCAGGCACGGGGGGTGGCTTTCTAAGACGCTTGACATCAGCGAAACGCTGCGCCTGCCACACGAGATCTACTTGATCTTCAAGGCGCGTGAAATGTTGCGCTGGCCACACGAATCGAGCGCACTCACACGGCACAAAAATGCATGATCCAAGGTGTTGTGCGCGGAATGCAGTCAAAACGACGTTGTTTGAGCTCCAACATGCACGAAATGCTGCCGTGCCAACGAAAATGCACATGCTGTGAACCGGCTAAAACTCGCGTTTACATGGAGTCAGAGCCAACCTAGAATATGTTGCTAGAGATGCACAAGCTGGCAAACAAGCCAAGTGGCCAAGCAGCAATGCATCGATGAGCAGCATGACGACTTGCCACTGTATTTTTGGAATGGGTTGCTAGCATGGTGATAGAAAAACGAACCCATGGCTGCATTGGTTGGAAAGAGAAAAATACATAGAAGCCTGCTCCGCGGGATTAGTTCCGGGCTATACTTCGACACCGGCATTCAAACAGTAGGGCAACTTCAATCCCTCGGAGTAGCTGGCAATTCAATGCAAGTTTGCCAATTTTGTACGAAGGTAGATGTGCGTTTACACCCTTCCACTGTGATTTAAAAAACTCAGCCCAGATCAACCCAGGACAAACAGATGTTGGAATCCAGCGAAATAGCAAAGACACATCCAAGGATCAATCACGCCTTGGCGAAGCAAACTGAAATTGAGGGCCTGTGCGGGTCTCAATGCCCATACCCGTCCAATTCACGCTCCGATGCCTGCCGCGCCAGGCGCCTACGTGTTGCCAAGACCTGGACAATGGGACAACTCACATAACCCGATTGGCATGGCATATTGCCCTTTGCTTGCACAGGAAGCACACAGCCAAGATCACTTCACGCACCCGGAGGTTACAGCTCTCAATCCGCTTGCTGGAAAGATGGCATGTCCTATCTGACACGAGCCTATCGACACTGAGTGCCGGACGGAAGCTGCAGTAGCACACAGCCCAGTGGTGAGAAAGCCACCTCGAACGCTCCACGATGCATCAGGACACTGACACGCAAAGCCCCACATCAGTGTAGACCAACTTCCCGGAGCATGTATCGCGCTGCGCTTACTTCAGTGCAGCTGATGGCTTGACATTTCATCCAAGGCAACGGCTGCCAGCTTTTCCGGCCGCATCTGACTGTGTGTGTGAAGACCTGCCAGAGCTGTGCCCAGGTTCTCACTCAAAGCCGCGAGGTTTGGCCAGACGCCCGCGCCTGTGTCGGAGGTTTGTGCCGACCGTCTTCGGAGAAACGAAGGCCTGGCCAGGGCTAGAGATCCCGTGCCACGCTCTGGGGTCTTCAACCCAGCCAAGTTGAATGTGCCTGTGGCAAGGTCTGGAGCTACAACCCAGCAAACAACCCTTGACATCTTTGTACATCAGTCTGCGCAGCGTACACCTGGAAAACCCTGGAGCACTACATGGAATGAGTGCTGCACGAACTGCAAATGCTTGAGCGTTGTGTGCCAGGGCTCAGAATTTGCACTTGCTGGCTGAAGGCCAGCACCGTTCTCACTTCGACTCCAGAGGAATATGTCTGACCCTGGTTGGTTTTCATCAAGGGTTGGCCCCTTTGCGTGGGTAGTGTTGGGATGGATGGTACTTCCTATCTCTACGGTGGGAAGACAGCCAAACATGACTCATGCACGCAAAGCTTGCTCAACAAGACCCTGTATAGGAACATCCTGCAACTTCCGCCGGGCCACACAAACATGATAACAACCTGCTTTGCAAGCAACGTGTACACACAAAGGACACGCAGGCAGCTTTAGACTATGCCTTGAAGGGTCTTACCATGTTCAGGTCCCTTCCCGCAGAAAACAGAATCCCTCGACCGCACCTCATTCAAACCCGATGTCGTCGCTGTGGCAGCCACAGCCGCAGCGGCTGCAACTCGGTGGCAAAATTGTGGAAAGGTGAAGCACAAGATGCTGAAACAGCCAAACTTCTTCGGACACTTTGTGCTATTCTTTCGGTGAGAAGGCTCACATGCCCTAGTTCAGCAGTTGCAGTAGGGGACAAGCAAAGAAGGGGTTGAGACAGCCACTACTGACCACCTGGATTTGGCACCTGGCTTCTAGACTCAGGGGACTGAAAATGGCTGAGAGAGTGCTCCACATGGAAAGGTGGCCCATGCGCAGAGCCCGGGCGAGCCAAATGCAAGCGGAGGGCAGCTTCTGCTCCACGGTGCATCCAAGTCGCGACTCATGTTTCCGAGTCGATGAAAATTTCACCTGGGCAAGCGAGTGGGAAATAGAGTTCAAAGCTGGCGAGGTTGGCATGTGGGATATAGTACTGACATCATGATATACATGTGTGTTCTCTTAAGATAGGTCTGATGCTTGGTGTGCACTGCGGGCAAACATGCTCAGCCTCCCATAACCAATTCAACAGCTTCACTCTGAGCAAGCTATTGCTCTGCCAGCTTGTTCCATCATTTGATCCATTTCAAGCTAGAGCTGCATGTTCCCTCCCGCATACTACCCTCACCAGTCACAGCATCGCAGCGTTAACCTTAGTGGACCTGGGCCGGAAGGTTCCAGCCGGTTGCAGTCCCCTTGTTTCGCCTCGATGTGCTTTTGCCTTGCCGCCCACGGTTCCGCCCGCAGGCATCCCACACTGAACCAAATGGCAAGCGGATGTCCACGTATCAGCGGGCAACATCCTTTGCGGCTGGCATGTTCAAGTTTGCCTTGCAGCCGTTACAGTATTACACCGCTTCCATGCTTTATTCGAGCACCGGCCAGGACGTGCGTCAACCTTCTTCGGAATCGTACAAACACTGCAAAAATCTCGGGAATGAGAATCAACTGGAGTCGAACAACTCCGCACCAAAATGTTGCAAGCCAACCAGGTCGCAAAACTCAGCTCTTTCTCGGAAACACAAACACATAAGGCCTTCGGCAGGCATGTTGGCCCAGAATAGTTTCAGCGGTCAAGAGATTGCATCCCAAACTGCAAAGCCCTCCCACAAAACCACAGGGTCAAGGCAACTTACGCGCGACTTTTCGAAACGACTTGGCCTCCACTCGTGAGAGATCTGTCTCGCACTCAACGCGGTCCCCTCAATGTGGAACGACTTAAACCTCTCATTCACAAGAAATAGTTATCTTTGAAGGGGAATGTACTCGCTTTGCGCGGCTTCATCTCAGGATGCCCTGTGCCTCACCGGTCGCCTTTGCCTCAGGCAGTGCGATGGAGCCGTTGTGCTGTTGCTTTCAGACTGTTGGAGAATGATTGAACCGGTAACTTCATTCCTTCAAAACGCTTTGCACGCAAAGCTCCCATTATAATCAATATTCCAGGCTCAGGAAATTGTGTGGAGGTTGTGAGGCGTTGCGCACATGTTTGTACAGCATGGTGTCCACACACACACAGAGAGAGAGAGAGAGACACACACACACACACACACACACACACACACACACACACATGCACCCACACACACACACACAGCCCGCGCGTGCCCGCCTGCCCGCCCGCGCGGGCACAAACGCACACATGTCCATGGTTGGCGGTGCTCGTCATGAGTTTACTTCTGGCAACAGGAATGAGCACCCGAGTTGATGTCATCCGTGTGCGCGGAGAAGGCTTTAAAACCTGCCTCGTCAAATGTGTGCAGCGCGCCAGTGATCGACCTGGCTGCTGGTACGGAATTCCGTGATTTTGCAGCACTTGCATTCAACATGGCAAGCTGAAAATGCTTGTCAAATGACTGCATAGGGGCAACTGGAAGCACAACTGACACTGGTCAAGACTGTAGTGCAAATGTTCAGGATAGGAACAAGGTCGGCCTGTTTTGAAGGCAACTGTCCAAACAAAGCCAACGATAGTCTTCCAACTGATCCTCAGTGATGGGAGAGGTCTCAGCGTTACTTCAAGAGGGCGAAAGTTGGTACAGCTATGGCAGCACCCAAATGAGCCCGTGGACAAGGGGCCTCAGAACTGTCAAGGGAAGACCCCTTGAGACCAAGAGCTCCTGCCTCAGTGTCTGCAGAAACTCTGGTGACGGTTTCTCCTGCTCGGCAGGCTTTGCCTGGCAGCCAGCATGCCCGAACTGAGAGGCCCTTGGCCCTTTGTAGGTGGATTTTATGTATGTAGGTTGTTCCCAAATGTGATGCGTCAAACCCGATTTGGTTGCTTAGCCGGAACTGAGTGAGGCTAGCAGTTGCTTGCATGTCTAGTTCATTTGATCCGTCGTGAGCTCGGCAAGCCGTCCAAGCATGCCACGCAAGTTCCTTGGAACGACCCATAGTGAAGACACTGTGCTCACCTTACTGGTACCAGGTTGGCCAGGCTTCTATCTCTGAAACATCTAAGGTCCCAACCATGTACCCATTGCCCAATACTAAGTACATCAAGGGTATACAGATTTTCCCGTCGAGGGTACCTGCCCAAAAGCACGTGTGTCCCGTAAATGACAAAGGCAATCAGAGCGGACGCAGAAGCATCGCGTCACTGCGTTGGGCTCCATGCAGGGCGCCTCTGTGGCGTTTTCGCACACCCCGATGAAGAATTGGTTCAGCAGCCGCAAGGAGTATCTCAGTGCCCAGTCTACATGCAAGCCTTTGCATTGGGAGATCAGCGCTAGCCGCTCCTTCTAAGCCCTCGCACCGCAGGCCCTCACCGTGAGTGCGCTCGAAGAGGCTAGTAGAGTCCTGGGTCCCAAGTTGGCCCCCAGCCATCTGAAGCCAAGATCTAAAGTCGCCTCCGAAATGCAGCCTTGTTCTGGATGATTGCTACTTGCATGATGACTCACTATTTAACATTGAGGAGCTCGTTTCCTTTTGCAAGCATTGAGCTGCAGAAAACAAAAAACGGGCACGCATTAGAGTTTACCCAACTTTTGATACAAATGCCGCCGTCCTGCGCAGCGGCGTCCACCACCAGCTGGCCACCCCCTGGGTGCAGCGACAAAAAGGAGGTCACGTCGTAGACCTGGGAACTGAGAAAGGTAGAAAGAAACAGAAACAAAATAAAGGGGAAAAAAGGAAAAAAAGAGAGGGATATAATATCCAAAAAGAGATCAGAAGTTGAAAAATGTTCCCAGAAAATCGGAATTATTTTGAGCCATTTGCCGTGGCCAATTGCAAGTTGTGGACTTCCAATGCCAGGTCGCGCCTTGCCATCAATCAAGAGCCAAAGGTCGTCCTTGCTGTTGTGCCTGATTCAGCTGCCATGACGAATGGCTGGCCGCACGGAACCAAAGGACGTCCACAAGAAATGGCCCATGAACACAGTGGCGATTGGATGTAAAGACTTGGGTCAGCTGAAAAGTGCAGACGACAGGCACCGGGGCCTTTCCACCTCCGACCACGGGATCCTCGCCACGTTCCGCGGCTTCAGGCTCTCCATGGTGGTCTGAGGATCCGACGGGATCACATCTATCGATCTTCGCATGTCCGTGAACCCTTGCGGGTACATTCCTCAAACTGCAAAAAAAAATCGAGTAAGCTCAAGGAGAAAAACAATGTCAGAAAAGTCAAATTCGAGCTCGTGAAAGGAGCGAGCACTTCAGGTCGCGGCCGTCCTGCGTTTCCTTGTTACTTGATGTGTTGCTCATTCTCTGGGTGCTTGGATGCTTGCGAGTCTTTGCTTGGAACCAACTTCCATTTGACCATTTGACAGGGCAACACGAGTGCCCCGAAAGCAATTCGCGCGCCTCCACGAGCTCCAGCAGCTGCTCGTGCCCGCAAAGCGAGGCGGCCCGCTGCAGCGTCGACAAGCGCGTGACCTCAGTCCGGAGCGAGCTCGCAAAACGCAGGGTCGATGGGGAACACGAAAGAAAAAACAGACACAGGAATGGAGTAGTCGACTAGTCCATTCCAAATTCAAATGGTCCCCGGGAAACAAGCCAGTCCGCACACGTCATCCCCGTGGAACTTGCCCTGTGTTCTTCATTCCCAATCGGCCGGACAAAGCTTCCGGCATCCACGCCGGCCGGTCGGCGGAAGACCTGCGCGAATCGTAAGGGTGGCTGCGCTGCCTGTGCTGCCAATAGTATACAAATCAAACGAAACCGCATGATGAATACGCAGTCATGTACACCAAAAAAGAGATAGATATATATATATATATATATATATATATCAGGAGGCAAAAGTCTGTGCTTCTTACTTGTTTCTGCAAAGCGGATCGAATCTCCAACTCCGATGTGTGTGGCAGACGGGGGATGGCCAATAGTCAGCCTCTTTCAAATGTAAGATGGTGAAGGCTTCGGACTGTGCAAACGACCCAACAGCCTGCAGGAGGCTCCTCTCTAATAAGGCCCAAGAGGCTCAACTTTTGTCCTGGCAATGTGTATTTGTATATAAGCACACACAGAAACATATGCTGGAATTGTTCAAAATAAGTTTCGAAGGAACTGCCAGGTGAGGGACACTGATTGAAGGTAGCTCTGCGCGAAAATGAGATGAAAAAGGAGCATGCCATGCGCGGTAATAGAAATCGCCAAAAGGACAACCCTCTGCGAGTTTTGGATTCTCGGCTGGCTTTCCTGATCGTGACGCCTCTCTAAATAGTTTCGGAAAGGTCTCGGGACGGGTGCGGAACAGGCGCCGACCCGGGCCCATTTGGCACTGGCGTGCACACTTTTCGCAACATCAGTTTGCGTGACAGGCGCAACACTTCCGCAGTCTGAGGTGCAATTTGTGAGGCAGGTGCACCATGTTTGCGCACTCAGACACCGATTGCTGACAGGCACAGCACATTGGCAATGAGAATTGCGCGCTTTGGACATCCCCATTGGCACGGACGCGCGCAGTGTCACGTGTGGATTAATACATTGAAACTTTTCCCTGGCTCTGCCAGCTTTACTGGTACATGTATTTGTGTATGTATGTGCATGTAGATATACATATATATATATATGTATATTGTAATATATATATATATATATGCATGCATGCATGCATGCATGCATGCATGCATGCATGTATGTATGTATGTATGTATGTATGTATGTATGTATGTATGTATGTATGTATGGGCATGTGTCAAGATTCGGGGGAACCCAAGAATAGTGCATATCCTTCTAGCTTCCCTTACACTACAGACGGCAAAAAGGGTACTTTCAAAAACCAGCGAGCTTGTGCGTATACAACTAGATTCATCTAGTTACTAGATGAAGGGAGCGCAAACAAATGCTCATCCAAGGCCCAGCCTTGGCACCTAGGTGCCCCCGTGTGCGCACCCGCGACTTAAGGCCCACAGAGGAGTAGATGACCTGCCCACAGAAACAGGGCGCGAGAATTTGAAATGTCCGGTTCCTTTGTACTTCTGGAATGGGCACACTTCGCTCAGTCGCATCGATCCCCTAATGACATAACATCGCCAAAGTGTTGAGGGCGTCTCAAAATGCAGCGCAAAGGACAAAAATGACATTGCTGTGAAGATCGGCTGCTCGCCTTGGCACCTAAGTTGTTCAATAAAGATCGGTTGGACCTGATAGAGAGTGTGAAAAAACAGCTAGAATTGGCAGGAAGAGGCAAATTGGATTTGCAGAACCAGGCTCAAGAAAAACTGAAAGGTTGCAGTGCGCAAATGGGGACAGGAAACCAACCACTTTTCGAGGTCCCATTTTGGGAAGCACCCTAGTAAGGCCCCCTCCCACAAAAGGTTTGGGTCTGCAAAGAGAAACGAGCCATCATGGTGGAATTCTCGGTTGAAATTCGGAATTCAGGTGGGCCCTTCGGGCCTTCTCCCGGCTGATCTTCTTTGTCCAACGCCCGAACTTTGCATCCCGCGGCCTTTCCTGGGCAAGACGGGCGAGACAGGGAAAGGAGAAATGTGGGAATAGCTGAACAGGCGCCTTCCTCTGTCTGGACCAATGCATGCCGTCTCTAGCATACCGGAAAGATTGAAGACAAATCATTGGTACTCACGTACAGATCGCGAACTCCCTCTCTTCGCCCGTCCGCTATCCATGCCTTTTACCATGATGAACAACAGAATAGATAAGTGACAGGGGAAAAAGAATCGGACAAGGAATGCTCTCACCATCACACCTCACTATCAATGAAGTGATAAAAAGATATTGGATGGGTACTGACCTTCATGTTGATCGTCTTGGTGCATGGGAAAAAGGATCCTTCTCTTCCCTTTATCTAAGCCTCTGCTATAGCTGTTTCATAAGAAATTAGAAAGAGACAATAAAAGACGCGGACAATGCATAATATATATATATATATATATATGCTTAAGAACGACAAAAAAAAAGAAACTAACAAAATACAAAAAAAATGAAAGCACGAGCAGTAAGATCAAACAAATATACAATACTGTACTCAATGATATTGAGGAAGTGATGACTACTCCAAATAAAACAGCAATCATCACATGCCCGTTGTTCTACATCCTTTCAAGAGCTAATAGATACGAAGAGATTGATAGCTGACAGAGTGATTCCAAGTCAGGAAACAAATACAGAAAAAAATAAGCTCTGGACGTTATATGATTGGTTGAAATAATTGGATTAGTGCTGTTCCCGTCAAATAATCCACCTCTTCCCCCATCCTCTGTCTGACGCTCATGTCCAAGTGATTAAGGGGGAAGATGGGAGGAGACAGGCAAGAGAGGAGGAAATGGTGATGCCTTTTTTTTTCTCAATCACAGCCAAACAAAGAAGGACTCACTTCCTCCCTGCGTTACGCAGGCTTGATGCGGGCTGGCTCGCACGAAGCTGCCCTCTGAAAGCCGATCTGCCACCACCAAACTCACGCACTTTGATCTTTAGAGCCAAAAAACTCTTGGAATGACGGCTTGAAATGGCTGAACAAAAACGGGTGAAACTGTTTGGGAGCGCTTGGCACGCGCATGTTGCTGCTCACGGGAAGGAACAAAAAGTGAAAGCGTGTGCGTCTGTCTTGCGCTGGCACCTTTGCTGGGAGCTTGTAGCACAAATGACTCAGCAAAGGTGTAAGGCACACCTGTTGCAACGGATAATTCACACAGTGGCACGGCCAACGCAATGTCTGTCGCTTTAAAACCATGTTAAAGGGCGCCCTCCTGCAGCGGTTTCGACCCATCCTCAAGTGCTATGATTGGTATGACCGGCGGCTGGCTTTGAGCCTTGTTTTGCCTTCTAGGCTCCCTGTGAAGTTGCAATGAGAATCTAGCTCCAGGCAAGCGAAACGCACCTTACAGCGCGCCTGCCCCGATCCCTGTTAAATTCACATCCCCGGCAGATCAAAGCCAATTCTCAACATCTTCAAATGGGCAAAACTGCGTTCAGCCGGCAGTCCTCTTTGGGAAGCTCTTCCACCTCCTCACCCCGTGGGCGTCTATCGTACCAATACCTCAGTTTCTCCACGGGACACCATGGGGACGTAGTATGTTACATGGTGTGGTGCTCGTGAAACAATTTGGATACAGCAGTTCATCATTTTCCAATTTCGAAGAGACCGACACTGATCAGCCCACACCTAAGGAGCACATTCCGCGGATGGCTGCATCTTGGCATAATGACATCGCGAAGGAACAGAGAATCAAAGCGGCAAGGGCCTGAAAGCAAAGTGAGATTAGTGATACAAAAGTGGCACGAAACCAAAAGCAAGGAAGCATTTTGCAAACTCGACTGCCTTTGCAGGATCGTATGAGATGAGAGGTGAAACCTGCCAACCCAAACAACATGACAATGTCGCAATGGATCTGTCAAAAATTGGACTCGGCGTTGACAGCCAGGCTGACTGGGTCTTGCCACGTGGAGCAGCCGTGCAGTGTGGCAAAGCGACATGTCAACAGATAGCCAAACTTATGGCACTGGGCAGGCAGACATTCTGCAAGACCAGACTGCCTGACGCCTGATTGCACCATCTTTGAAGCAGAGGTTCTTGGTGCATCAGACCCACGCTATTCGTCAGAGTTGATGGAAACTCACATTATAGCTGGATCTGATCAACATCCGGTCTGAAAATGAGAATGACTTTCAAAACGCCTGAGCTTGTCTGAACCACATGCATGGTTCCTGTGGCTTCAATTGTCCGAGGAGCACAAAAGATTGGCATGCGCTCAAAACTCACAGCTGTGTCCGGAAGAAATGGCACTTGCTGAGCCTGAGCCAGCAATCTAAGACACAAATCCACAGTATAATCGCTCATAAAAACCTCCCAGAGTGGTCGGCCCACTAGCCCAGCCACTGGAGCACCGGCCGCACAAATCTGCATAGCTTGCATGTCCAACTCCAGAAAGATGTTCTTCCTCTTCAATTTGATCACCTGCTCCACGACTCCATGCTCGAGATTTTCGCGCGAGTCTGCGAAACTTGTCGACTCAGAGTCAGAGTCCATTGCATAGCTGCTGAGACTGCGACTCGGGCCATGGCCGTCAACCTCCCGAGGAGTGGAACCAGCACCTTCGTGAGTGCGGGCTCCAACTGTATAGGGCTCAAACTCATCCAAGTCGACGTCATCGTGCATTGCATCAGTTGCTTTGCATCCGGCCAATGACTTGACATCAGTAAAATCCCGCAGACCTATCAAGTGCCGAAGTTCATTGTTTGACATCTGATATTTCACCTGGAACACCTCTGTGCGAAACTTGCTAGAGCAGCTATCAACTAAATGCGTGTGGAAGGCGTTTGCAAAAGAGCAGGAAGTGCTGTTGGCAGGCACATTGCCCAGAAGATGTTCCTTCGCCCGCAGCACGTCTGCTCTTGAGATCAGGTCGGTGAAGCACGCACCTTGCAAAGAGGCGCGGCGTAGCAACATACCAGCCAGCTTCGGACAGTGATCTATGAGCCTTAGCTCATTGTCTAGCTCTATGACTGCATCGCAGGTCAGACGGAGCAAGGCAGATGCCGCATCAAGCTGAGAAGCAGCGTCGCTCTCCCGAATTCGCGCTTCCACTTTCTGCTGAAACATTTTGTGCACGAAGCCCACCAGTGTGGATATGCATGGAAAAAGGAAGATCTCCGCTGCGGCAATGGTAACGGGATATCCAAGCACGGTGCCGGCAGAGTCTTCAGGGTCAGCAGTTAAAGAGCGCAAAAAGACAAACACCGGAATGCATAGGTAGCATAAGAATGCCACAGGCATGTTCTGCACATAGATCATACAAGGCAACTGAATCACGACAAGGCTGAATACCCTGCCGCTGAACACCGCCCAAGCAGGGATTGCGCCCGGAGACAGAAACACCAAAATGTGCAAGTGAAAGATCAGGTTCCAAAGACCCAGCGTTCTCGCAGTCAAAGCGCATGGCGCCCAAAGTGCTCCAGCAACAAGCAAGCCCAAAACAGCCAGATTCCAGAAGGCTACATTGGTTGCAATGAACGCCTGCGCCGCGTGCGGCCCCGACCCCCACATCCGTGCAATGCCCGACAGCAAACATAGGCACAAGACGGCTGCCACGATGCCCAGGTATGTTCGGGCAAAATCTAATTGCAGTTTGCACACCTCGCTCCGCAGGAACGTCTCTGATGGGCCTGTACTCGCACGCTTTGCTCTGCAGATATGAAGGAACTTCCACAGCGCATCGGCAATATGCCGACGATGCTGCCAAAGCTTGCCAAGCCCCTTCAGAAGACACAACCTCGGAACGACATGCGAAATGGTCGTTGGACGCAATGGACCAAGAAAATACATGTACACGCTCATGCCCTTGCAGAGGAACTTATTTTGAAACTGTGCCGCTATGCCTTGCTTCCCACCAAACGAGTTTGAAGCAGCATACGATTGGTTGCCAGGAGAAAAACAACAAAGAACAAATCGAAAAAAGCCCACCCAGAATCTGAAGCTAACGCTCCTCTTTGGCTGTTGGAGCGAATCCCACAGAAGGTCCGCCGTCAAGACCACAATTCACAGGATGCTTGGCACACGTGACCTACGTGTTGCTTCTGCAAATGAACCCGGTGCATGCGGAGCGTCAATGACGTTAATGGTCTGTGGCTGTGCGTACGCGAGAAATGAATGGCTTAATGCTGCCAGGAATAGCTTTGATATTTCACCGGCAACTGATTCATTGACCTTCTTCAGCAACATCAACAAGACTTGGAATGTTCCACAGCATATTCCACAAACAGCTAAGCCGATGGGGTTCTCTATTCATGCAAAGAGTTTCGCCGTCACGAGATGGTTTGCCGACATACCCCTGCTGTCTCCCCACTTGTCTCTCCGCTTGCCTCCCTATCTGCCTCCCGGCTCGTCTCCCTACATATCTTTCTGCTTGTGCTTGGTGATGCTAGGAGACTTGCACCCGGTCACTGCTTATCTCCCCAGTTGTTTCCCTGCTTGCGCTCGCTTGTTTTGTCGTGGCTTGTCTCCCCACTCATCTCTCCCACTTGTCCCGCTGCTTGCGCTTACTGAGCCGGGCGTTGTCATGCTTGTCTCCTCGTTCTTTGACTGATTGCGCTCGCTTACTGCCTTGTCACGGCCTGTCTCCCTCCGCTTGCACTAGTGAACTCGGGACCTTGTCACAGCGTCTGGTCTCGTCTCCCCGCAGCTTCCCGCTTGTTGCCCCCAAGGCTTGTCGCAAGAGCTTGTCTCCGCACTTCGCAGGGCTTGTCTCCCGCTTTTGCCCCTGGTTGAGCCTTCTCGCACGCACCTCGTCGCATATGGTCTTCCCACCTGTCTCCCAACCTTGTCGCCGCTTGTCTCCCCACTTAATCTCCTCCCTTGTGCCCCTGCTTGCGTGCTTCCTTGAGTCAAGCCACACTACTATCAACAGGCTGCACAGAGATGCAAGGAGTTTCTCCACCGATCTGTCGTCCAGAAGCATGGCGATGGCCCGGATGCAAAAGCAACTAGAGCAGAAATAGAGGTCCAATCCCAATCGGAGCCATAACACTGCGAGACGGGAAAGTCCAGGGCTTGCCTGTTTGGACACCGGGAGAGCGTCAGCCTCTCCACTCCGACATGAGCCCAAGGCATTATGACACAATTGTGGTGTCCACCATGGTTTGTACGATTGGCTGGCACAAGTAGCCACAACAGGATGTCCTATCCCAAGCCCTCATTCATCGAAGCCATTCTAGACACGATTTGATACGGCTTGTCTGCCTGTCTGGATAGTCCACTAAGTCCGAGCTGCGTTAGCTGGGCCAAGGCCGCAAGGTCAATCCATGGCAGCTGCAGCAAAGCCTGGCGGTTCAGGCAAATTTTCGTCCGCGTGTTGCAAAAGGTTCTGCTTCCCAGCATCAAGAGACTTCAAGCCGCTGGTATTACACCGCTTTTGCAAATGTTCAAACCGTTCATAGATTTTGCGAGCTGCTCGTGTCCTTCCCATTTTATGAAGCCCCATCTCGCTGCCTGCGGCGACTTACAGTGGATTTGCCTGGAACTCGCTTGCAGAGAGAATTATGTGGTGTTTGTGGTTACTTGACAATAGTGAAGTTTGGGCCAAATCATGACACGGACATGTTGCACATATGCGCCATAACATGGCTGCCAACAATGCAGTCACAAGCGCCAGCCGTGGGCATGACATGGAACTGGACAATGAATAACGCGTCGAAACCATGAGCTTCGACCGGCTAGCCTCTTCCGCATTGCTTTCAAAGTGAGTGGGCAAGGCCTGGGCATGTTGCCAGGGTGTGCTCAAAAAACCTTTGACAGAGTTCAACCACCCTCTACTCTTCTACTTGAGTTCGACAAGGTGTGACGAGCTACAAAACCAACACATGCAGTTGCTTCGCACATGCTGTGCCTGTCTAGCTAGTGTTGGCCAATCAGTCGCGCGTCTAAGCCAATGCCGGCAATGCACCTCTTGGAAGCTCAGCAAACTTTGTTCTCGGATAGCTCTCGCGGATTGTGGCTGGTGTAAAATATTCTAAGCAATCGCAGCCATGTGACTGATTCTGAAAGCAGGAACGGCCAGGAAAGCTCACACCAAACATGTGTCCCATCCCCTCTCCTTCCAACAATGTTCAGCAGTCAGACTGTGCTGGGGGTGAAAAGTGTCCGGCCCGCCTCCACTAGATGAAGGTCATCTAGACAAAGGAGCTTATCCTTCAACTGCTGCCTGCGCTTCACTTGACAAAATCCCCCACAGGTCGTGCAACTCTCAGTGCAACTCTCAGTTCTTCTCTCTGCTTCGCTCAGCTTCGCTCTGCTTGGCTCACTTTTCTGGTATGCCAAATCCCAAAACTTGCGGAACCTGAAGCAAGGAGCTTGCGCAAGGATATCGGAAGCACTCCGTGGCCAGGTGCTCTCGGCAATCCAAATAGAATCGTCTCTATCCCTGGCCAGAAACACATCACAGAGCGACAGCATGCCGAACACCTCCGTGAACTGCGCTTGGCACTTCAGAGCGTCACAGAGCACGAGCTCAGCTGGCTTCCAGTTGGAGTGTGAAGGTCTCGGAAGCCTTGGGGGCCTCGGCATCTGGTCAGAAGTCACAGTCGCGGCCTCGGCGTCTCCGGCTCAACAAAGAGACCACGGGCAAGCAGAGAGCCATTCTCCATCTCCACCCCAAGATGCCTTCCTAAGGTCCCAAGTCAAGGGTGTCACTGGCATCTAGTACCTATGTGTACCTATGGCCTTCAATTGTCAACCAAACGAAATCTCTGTCTTGACAAAAACTTCCCCGGAAGAGCACCGTCATCTTCCATGAACACTCTGCTTGTTTTCACCGTCTTTCACTCCGAGGGTCCCTGGCGCCACACCGCCAGCGTCAGGTCCTGGAAGGCCTTGCCCTGCGCCAGGAACTCCAGGCGCAGGCAGCTCGCGGGCTCAAAGGCGCCGAAGGCGCCGAAGGCGCCGAAGGCAAGGCGGGCGTCCTCCATGAGCACGGCGTAGCCTAGCGCGATGCCATGGTGCCATGGTGCCATGGTGTCGATGGTCATGGTGGCGGTAGGAACTCTACTTGCTCCAACAATCCTTTGTTCTTTTAGGAGCCTTGTTCGAAAAAAACAGAAAAGGGTTCAGGACCAGCGCTACCAAGCCCAGGTCAAGGGGTGTCAAATGACCATGGCACAACAGCGGAGATGGATACAATAAAACAAACACGCAAGTCACTGGTATGAAAAGCCCGAATGAACACCCTTCCATTGAGCACATGCAAAAGACTCGTTGGATGGGTACTTGCCCTTGATTGCCCACACATGACAGAAGAGCCATGGGTTGTGACATACTCGGAAGTTGTTTGGTCCGCCTCATGCTTCCATCAGAAGAATCCCATGCTAGAGTTTGGACTCGAAAACACAGGAACAAAACCTTGCACACGCGCAGAGAGTGATTCTCCAGCCTGCGCACCAAAGACCGTGCCAGCCCAGCTTCTCATAAATTTCCCACAGGTGGACCCTTCTCAAAATAACCCAAGAATGGCATGAATCGAAGACGAAAAGCGAGGCGAAATCTCAAGAGCCAACAATTCCCAAAGCCAAACTCACAAAATCAAAAAACACGTCAAATCCAAGCTCTCGACAAGCCGCTGGCGTTGTTCATGTGCCCCAACAGGTCGCAATCCGAGGGCCTCACCTGCGACTTCCAGGTGAAGCAGCCGGCCGGCCTCACAGCCCGGCATGCGGCATGGATCTCGTGTGTGTGTGTGTGTTTCCCTTTTCAAACTCGGTCGAAAAAGTAGCTAGCTGCTGTAACTAGTTGCTGTTTCCCAAACCTGTTTGGGAGAGTGGCTGTTTCGGGACGCAGAAAGCCAATTGTAACTTCTTGTGTCAGAGAAGGAATGGGACACGGGGCCAAGGTTTAGCGGTTGGAAATGTTTGGGCGTTCGTTCCAATTTTCATTTCTGTACAGTTAGACTTTCACGTCCTCAACTCCAATTGCGTCATACAACCGAGTCTGTGCGTACAGGTCCAAAGCAAAAGGCAAAGAATCGTTTTGATGCTAGAACGCTGGCAAAGCATGCATGCTGCGATTGACGCAGCGAACCAAACAACAATGCTCTTGCAAAAAAAGACAGTTTTTCCAAACTGCGCTGCTTTGAACACTAAAGCAAACCCTGATCGTGATACAAACCCTTGGCTCTGAACTCATGCAAAGCACTTCAAGCATTTTGCATTCCCCGTGCATTTCAATCGCTGTCTCGTTGTCCGGCCGTCCTCTCCAAGGAGGGCAGCGGCTCCGCGCGCGCGGCCGTCTCCAGCAGGGGCTCCAGCGCCCAGGCGCAGGGTACCGGGACCTAGGCGAAAGGCGGTCGAGGGATCTGCGAGCAACCAAGCAAAAACCGGAGAAGCAGCCACTTCTTGACTTCTTGACTTCTTGACTTCTTGGAAGATGGCCACTGATCGCAAATGTGACTTTCACACCCACAAGGCTTGGCCCGTATCTTGCGGCTGAGTTTTGCTTTCAGCGAGTGGCCGGGCTCAAAAGAAAGGCGTGGACATGGAAAGCAAAACAACGTAGTCGCAAACGGATCTACCGGGGCATCGGCTGTGCAAGACTTGATCCATGACACGGGTCAAAAGCGGAAGTGAAATTGTCGCTAAAACACATCGGCATGCAGATGCATTTATCAATAGGAGCGGCAGAATTGGTTCGAGTCCTGGTTGCTTACGAGCGCCTTCAAAGTTTGAATGGCGGTCAGATTGATTCGCTCTATGCACAAGACTGGAAGCAGCAGATTTCCAACAAATTGGTCTGGCCAAGAGTGCCAGTCACGCGCATCCAAAGCCCAGCACACCGGCTCCAAAGGCCCCATCTTGGGCATTCACTCAAGGAGGCCAAAACTTGAGGCCATTGGGGCGTGCGCCCTCAACCCAAGCCATTCCAATCATTCGCAAAGCTAAGAAGTAACTAAGTACAAGACTCAACGAGATGGAGTTGACATTTCTACACAACTCAACGTCGGCGCAAGTCAGCCATCAGGCGAGCTGCTGATTTGGTGAGGCTTTCGTCCAGCTGCACCATCACCGTCTCCACTCCTTGTTTCGTTTGCATCAAGAGGGTCAATCGATACAGTGCTGTTTACTTGACAACCGTTCAGAGCCCCCTGCGTGGCTGAGATAAGTCTTGTCACTGAGTCTGTGCCTTTCACTTTTGAGCCAGGCTTCTTGCCAGTAATTGCCCCGTCTCCCGGACTCGGACGCTGCTCTGCAGCGTGTAGCTCGTCCGACCCAGGCGCGTCAGGATGGGGTCGACAGTCACAGTGGTTCCAGAGCACAAGTTGCCTGCAATGGAGCCCTCCTTTGAAGACAGTTCAAAACGCACCGTACTGAAAAGATCAACGGTCCTGGAGCTTGGGGTTTATGGCCGGGATCCAGGTCCCTTCCTGGTCCCTGTGCAACCATCCTGAACCTGTTGGGCGTTTCCACAGCCTCGGTTCATCCCGCAAAATATATTTCCAGACATTTCTCAACTCTTGGCACCACCTCCCCCTCCGCCACCAGCACTTCAAACATGTTCAATGAATGATAACGTGTTTGCAGTAAAAATATGTTTGGTGTTGCGCGTGGAGCTGTTGACTCCGCATGAAAAACGAATCCGACACACTCGAATCCACCTGCGAAGGTGGCCTCCCACGCGCTGCCCCGCACCAGGAGCTCGGCGTGGATGGAGCGCATCACTGCCGAGGACTCCCAGCGCCGCAGCAGTGTGCGCCGAGCGGCGTCGTCCTCGCGCGCGGGTAGCCGCGGGGTAGCCGCGGGTAGCTCCAAAAGCCCCACAAACCATGGAACTTTCGTGTCAAAAAGCTGAGACCACATCTAGCCTCTGATGCCAGAGTCTAAGTGCGTGGCATTGACTCGATTCAAGATGAAGGCGCCAGCTGTGTCACACCAACGCAGGACCGCTGCAAAAGCGTTGTGCGCAGAAAAGTCCACGTAATTAGCAACCAGCTCCATGGCACGCCACAAGCTTCTGTCCTCGTTGCACCTTGAACCACTTGCAATCGTGAAAAGCTCAGTTGCCTGAATGGAAATGGCTAGCAACAAAAGATTTGATACGTTCCATGTAGCCGCAAAGGGCTGCTCAACCTTCATCCATCCACCAGTCAATTGATTGCTTTGAACTCAAACAAGTTGGCTGCAAACGCAGCACTGGCCTCAATCGGTCACACTCGAAGGCCAGACCAACTGGAACCTGGCGGGCAAGGCCAAAACGCAACGCAGGTCTCCAGCAACATCATCCCCGGTATTGACGATCTGCAGCAGACGGATTTGTTTCAATCACAAGGCTGATACAGCCAAACCCAAAACCAACTAAGTCGTGGCTTAACAAGCAAAGCTCTTCTTCCCCGCATATCCAGACATCCAGCACTCTTGAAAGACGAGAACAGATTCGATTCTAGAAAGAGACAGCCATGCTCTCACGCTCACTCAGTGAGCACCTCCACCACGTCGTACTCCAGATTCTCCCCCGAGGCGCCGTGCTCCACGGGCACCTGATCGAAAGCGGGCCTTTCAGGCGACGAAACAAACAAGAAAACAAAAAGCAAACCCGAAAAGTTAGAAACCGAGTTTGAGGCACTAAGGAAACATGGAAAAGCCACGCCAAGACGCCGCCGCTTCGGAAAAAGACGGCGTTTCCGTTTCAGCGGAATCGGATGTCTCGCGCCTCGCACTCCACCACCGGCTCTTTGGCAGGGCCTCCTTCAGTCCACCTGCACGAGTTCCGAAGTCACCGTATCAAGTCCGGACGTAGGATGTGACCGGATCCGGATGAATCGCATGAACAAATCATGAGATGTCGACACATGCTCATCACGAATTGCGTTGACCACTTAGCTGCTGACATGGCAAAACCTGTCACGCCTGGTGTGAGAGACTGACAGCTTATTTATGCAGTATCGAGCACTACTAGCACACCCAATCTTTGTTGCGAGATCTCTCTGCTGTCCGCATTCAAGCTTGCGGCAACCGCAAAAGCAGCTTACTTGTGCTCGATGCAAGATAGCACTCGCTCAAAAAATGCTTCTTAATAGGCAATGTCATGCGAAAATGGCACACTGTTGAGGTGACGTCGCCCGGTTCACACTGGCAGACATGCTGAACTCACAAAAGACGTGCCCAACAAAGCAAAAGTCCAGACATTCGGGGGAACCGCAAAAGTTCCCTTAGCCACGGAGGCGATCCCACCTCTCGAGCTGCTGTTCGACCCGTCGCCGGCGCAAGAACTCTCGCACCTTGCCGTACCTGGGCCGATGGAAGCCCATGAATCCCGTGCGCCCCTTTTGCCCTTGTCCTGCACAAACGTCAATGTCGCAAGGCCCATTGCAACAATTCCACCTGGTCGGGCATTAAATTCCATAAGTTTAATCAGCGCAAGGCAATCGTCTGCGAACCTAAGGCATGGACACAAATGTATGTGTGTGTGTGTGTGTGGATAAGCCTACGTCGGACTTAAACAAGTGCGTGAAGTAAACGGTACATAGATTTATTTTGGTGGTGTGGCACTTGCAACAACTCAACTCCATCCTTCATGTTGCGGGGTCAAGCACCGAAAGTGTAGCCTTCTATTGGCACACCGGCCATGCTTGCGGGCTGGAAACGCGGAAAGCTCGCTACAATGTACTATATGATTTGGGTCCAATAGGAATCGGCGTGATGGTGAAGTTCTCACTGAATTCTCGTTGAAGGGATGATCATCACTCTTGGCCCCAAGTCTTCAATAGGTGTCCCAGCACTCTACATGACCGGGTGACTTCTTCACTTCTGCAACAGGTCAGTGCCCTTCATGGTCTCTTCGCATTGGGAACAGGTCCTCTCATCTTCTTGACTGTGCACCCGGCCGCATGCCGAAGGCATCCCGAGAAAAAGGCCGGAACAGCAATCACGGCCGTATCCAGAGATGTTTATCTTTCGCAGCTGCAACAAAGGTGTCGTTGGCCTTTTAAAAGCCTGCTCCAGAGGCCAACAACTCTGGCAGAAGCCGAATGGTGCTGGTATTGAAAATGGCAACCAAACATGACCGACGGAGCGCAATCCCCGGCGCACGCGTAGGCAGTCAGGCCTGGTGTAAGCAGGGCTAAACTGCTGTAGAATCATTTTCGAACAAACGCATCATTTCAAACTTGTTGACTCACAATACCAATCTGGAATCTCGAGTCTAAGGCAATGAATGTAGACGGTTCCAGCCAAGCTTAAGACTGCGCATTTGCGATCATAGGGGTGGCTGTCAAAATGTTGAACCCCTTCTTGGACCACATGTTGGCGACGCGAAACATCAGCAGACCACCCTAGTTTCGATAAACATGTTTCTGCGCATTTCACTCATAGCTGGATAGCGACAGTACCGCTAACCTGCAACTCACCCCCAAAATGAAAAACTCCTTGAGAATGTGCACTTGCAGTTCTAAATCTGCAACGACTCTGTCCGCAAAGCCTCTCTGACGGCTACCAAACCTCGCGGCTGGAATGTTGGCAGATCTAACTGCTCGCAGGCTGGACTTGAAGGCATGAAAGTAAAGCAGCCTGGAAGCAAACGAAAAAATAGAGGCACGCCTGCTGCAGCCACAGCGAAGGCCAAGCGCCGGATCCGCCGTCGCCTGGGGAGAGAGGAAATCAATTCGCAGTCAAGGGCACGGTGAAATCCGGACAAAAGCAGCCCCTGTCACCATGAGGGCAACTGGGCTGTCGGCCAAGGCGCAGCCGGTGCCAGCATGGCCACGGACATGGCCAGCTTGAGACTGTGAGGGGCAAATCCTATGGTGGCTCTGCGCATTCTGGCCTGGTTCAAGTCAGTGTCCGAGAATGCTTCTTGCTGGTGCTGATGGCCTTCTTAGCAATTTGGAGGGAAAGGAAAGTTTAATGCTCAGGTATTCAAAAGCAAATCACCGCCTGCACATCTGGCCCATTTGTGTTGTCGTGTGTTAGCAGCTTTTGGGTGAAGCATGTCCTCATAGCTTCGTTCTAGATGCAAGCTAGACGGCTTCTAGCCAAACGAGCCGAATGCAGACATCTGGAACTTGGCAAGCAGACTTCACAGCAGAAATTGTAACGTGTCTAGGATAGGAGCGCTATTCGTATCAGCTTGAGCACACGGTCCCCCATTCTTGATGTGGCGCCCAAGAAATTGCACAGGTGTCTGGAACAATTCTACTTGTAGTCAGTGGCGCCACAACCGTCCTACATGTTGCTATCCTAGAAACAATCAGCAAAGCGCCTGGATTTTGCCTTCCACTCCCAGCTGACACGCACTTGGGCTCTCCCACTTTCCACCTTTCCACCGCGACTCCGCGAAGAGTGTGGCCGCATCCTCCAGGGCCTCAAAGACCGTGTCTGGGGAGCGGCCTGCTCGGGTCCCAAACCACGACCACAACCGCCCCGAAGCCAAGAGCAAATTCATTCAAATGCCAGGCCTCGAAAGCGCTTGACGCTCTTCGGTGCCCGCTTTGGCACCTTCGGTGCCTTCGGCGTCGATACCGTCAGCGCCTGGCACAAATCGCTCCGGGCCCGATTCGGAGTCCCGATAGCTCCTTCGGTGTCTGGCACACAGCGAGGGCAGTATGTACCGGGACGTACCAATGAAAGACTGCTAGAAATCCCTTGTGCCGTGCATGAAACTGCCAGCAATTCACTGGGCTCAAACAACCCATGCCTCTGCAACTGCCGGCTCGGGCACAGGGCAGTGAAGCTCCTCGCTGTGAAAATCGCCCGTGGCAAGGGATCACCAACATCCCAAACTACACTGCTCTCTAAAATGCATTGGTCTTGAGACTCGAAAATTCCAAAACCATTGCGGCAAGGAATGGATCGGGGCTTATCCCTTCTTGGCAGCACTTGGCTCCTCCTCCTCACCATGGCGCAGCGCCACACCCCTCTGGCAGAGCTGCTGCGCTAGGCGAGCGCGCACGCCGCAGCCGCGCCAGTCCTGAGAGGGTCGCAGCGCGAGTCGGTCGATCAGCTTGTCTGCATGTCGCTCACTTGCGGGTGCGCGTGCTCCATGAAATATCACCTACCTCACTAACCAGAGGTCCCTCCTCGCCAGCAAACAGTACACAAGGACGGCCACCACCTGACAGTAAAGGTCCCAGGCGTTCCCCTCAGCAAGTGCTGCAATGCTGTTTCAGCAAAGAATGAAAGTCTGGATCAACCTGAGCATCCAGGCTGTTCATTTTCTGCCGACACCCTCTCTCCGCCTCGGGCAGCTGCAGCCAGGCGCAATGCTGCAGCTGCCAGGGCCGCGCGTGCAGGACCACTGCCTCGAAAAGAAACGCAAAAAACGGAGCTCACGCTGTGAACTTCTGACTTCTCGACTGGCCTCCGCTCAGCGGGCACCACTCGAAGACCAGGCCAGCCGCGCCCATGCGGCGGCGCAGCTGCGAGACGTGGCGCTCGGGCCTGGCACCAAGGCCCTCAGAAACTCGCTGCGGCCAAACGGGAACTCCACACGGGAAAGGTCCCATGAGTTGCAGCTGGGCACTTCCAAGTTGCTTTGGGCAGCTGTAAGCAAAGCAAAACCAAGAAAAACAAAAACAAAACAAAAAACGAGTCACGGGAATACTGGACTTGCCGGAGGATACAAGATTGTTCAATCTTGCTTCGTTGACTTGACGCATACTGATCATACAGAGGATGTTTGCATACAGGAAGGAAAACAACATGAGAAGCAAAAACATCATGTTCAGTAATAATGTCCAGCTAGAGGCTTCGCTTTCAAATGGCGGAGTTTCACACTCCACCAACCAATGCCGCGATTCTGCACTGAATGACAACAGCCCTGACAGCAAGTGGTGCATGCCCAGTCGCTGCCCGCAAATCAAATCCCAGTGCAACCCAAAAATGATTCCTCTCAGCTGAAAGTACATGGGCGAACTGAAATCACAAGAAATGATGCCATTCAGCCAATCCACGTGCAATCAAGCAAACACCTGCACAAAAGCAATGAATCAGTACATCAAGTGCAGCCCCCACTGAAGTCTGTTCTCCCGGTGTGAGCGGCCTTTCCCTTGCATCAAGCACGCTGGAGACGTTCCGGCGCTCGAGGAAATCCAGGAGCTGTTCGTCACCTGCGCTGAGCTCTCCATTGCTCAAGGACTCAAGACGGCTACCCAAGTAATCACCAAGAGAACCATGTGTGCAACTCGAAGTGTTCATGGCGCGAACTGTCCAGCTCCTGCAAAATATCCGTCCTTTGGCTGGTGCGAGGATCCAACTGGTCAAGCAAGAATGGTGTGTGCCGGTCTACAAGTCAGCTTTGGTAGTTGAGTTTCCTGGGACCTGGGAACCTTTCAATAAACGTGAATGGGAAAAACTGGCTGTGAGGATTGGACAACTCACAGGCCTCCCGGTTTCTTCCAGCCTGTGGCCACG